CTGGCAGGAAGAGCAAAGGGCCCCTCTTTCCTTCTGAGGCTGGCACGAGCAGCTGAAGCTGCACTTGTCCCCTAAGCACTGAAGAGCCAGCGGTGTGACGGGCGTGGGCAGTGCGTCCACGGCGTGCTTCTCCCCAGTTCTGACCACTGCAGCCAGCGTTCTTCCTTCCCGTTTCCTCTGGGTTATCTAACGCTCCCTGTTTTTGGAGTACTCCCATCAGTCTCTTATCAAATGTGCTCCTGCTTGTTGCAGATACTTGGCAAATAGGTCAAAAAGGCACACTCTGGCAATGACCAACCCTACAGCTGAAATCCCTCCAGACTTGCAGAGGCAGCTAGGACAGCAGTCCTTCCGACCCCGGGCTTGGGCTCCACACCTGGTACCCGATCAGCACCGGTGAGTAATGGCACCGGCCGTTCGGGCAGCTTTGCGCCAGGAAACCCGCTCAGATGTCGTCTGGAACGAGCACTGAGGACATCCTGCTTGGCAGGGAGGGGCGAGGAGGACGAGCCAGAGCAGACCCACGGAGCAGAGGGCGTCCGGCCGCGCTGGGACACCGCGGGTCTGCGCTGGCAAGGGCTCCGTGCCCACAGACACAGCGCAGGGGCAGGGACGGGCTGGCTCTGCCCTCCAGTCCCCTTCTGGTGACCAGAGGGCGTGTGCCAGAATGGCTGCCGTCACGTAAGGGCTGGGGAGAGGCTATTCTTCGTAGAGGAAAGGTTTTCTCTTGTAACGGCAGGGGTCAAGCTAGCAGAGGTAGCACATTTTCTCCAGAACGTTTCTGGAAGCGGATGCAGGCAAAAGACTGCACCAAGAATCAGCAATGCCAGAGCTTAAAACCTCACTGTTCTGCACCAGAGTTGTGTGTTTTGACTGCAAAGTCTCTTTGCAAAGCTCCTCAAGAGTCATTTTATTTCTGACCTGAGCTCCTGATGGGAGTGATGTGGGCGAAGGAAGCTGTGGTGGCCACAGAAAATCACAGTGCCTGGGCAGGAGGGGACGATGCAGACTGCATCTCAACACGCTCAGAATGAGTGGGGCTCTCCTGATGGAGAGAGGTGTTAATTTGACACCGAGTCCTTGGCACAGCAGCAAACCAGAGATGCCAGTGCCGCGGAGGGAGCTTAAAACCCGTGCTCTGAACCTCTCGGTGCCGAGAGTGCAAACCAGCTGTGAACCGCAGCCTGCTGGTCTGGGCTGCTGGGAAAGCGGCGGCTGCCAGCCTGGATGGTGCTCGTGTTCACCCCTTCAGCTCCCACTGGCGAGCTTGACAAAGGGCTTTTTATTGTAGCCAGAGACCTGCTGAGCTGAGCACTGATGTAATCAGCAGAGACAGGTGAACTCTGAGCAGTGCCGGTGCCACGCTGGAACTCCGGAAAGCCCAGATAAGCACCTCTACCCTCAAGTTACTCCCTCACAGAAGGGCTAGGGGGATGGGAAGAGCAGAAGGGAAAGATTTCTGGGGTCACAGCTTGATAGGAGGAGCAGTGCAGCTTGCAAAACAAGCAGAATGTGCTGCGTCCTGCTCTAAGGATTGCTTCGAATGGTGAAGGTAAGCTGGGTCACTCAGGCACCGCAGGGGGTGATTTTTACAAGGTGCTTAAAACACGCTTACCCTGTACGTTGGTGTCACCTCTGCCTCTTGGCTGTGGAGTGCTGAGGCTGTTGCATCATGAACGGGGTGGTATCTGCCCGTTCCACCCTCCGTGTCGTAACGCTGTGAGCCTGCCTCATGGTTTAGCTGCGAAGTCACGGAAACTTCATCTGGCCACGGCCTGAAAACGTTGTCCTGTATTGTGTCCAAGACACACATGGCACAGAGACGGTTCTCTCATTGGATAGATAGACCTCAGGTATTGAGTGGCTGCATTCTAGCACTTAACATATTTTAAGTTATCTCCTGTGTAGCACCTGGTTTTGGTCACGGTAGCTTAGCATCTGAAAGCAGAATTGAGGTACAGCACTTGTACAGGGCAGCACAACTTTCTGCCTTGGCCACGTGGGGTTGGGAGCCTCAGCATAGTTTTATCTGTAGTTTCCGCTTTCCCTCAATACAGCAGGAGGTCAGACAGGTCAGGATGGCATCAGAAGGCAGGGGCATGGCTCTGCCCTTGGGAGAAAGTTGTGTCGTCTATAGAAAGTGAAATAGGTCCTGCTGAGGCAGAGCAGGGGCAGGCGCTGAAGCCAGGCTGCTGGAAACGGTCCAGCATCGGTCACCTTCCGACAGAGGGAGCCTCTCCAGGAGAAGTCGTTTCACTTTGTGGAGGAGGCTTTGGTCAAAAGCCACATTCGGGGTAGCCAGGGCAGTACCGTGCCTGCAGTGCCGCGGCTCAGGACCACAGCAGAGTGCGGCCGGCCGGGCTCCTGGGGCTTAGCGCAGGGATGTCAGAGCTGCAGCTCATGGCCCTCTCACAGACAAAGGCTGCTGCTGGAGCCTGCACCATTAGGTGGTGGTTGCTGGGCTTGAGAGATTGCCTTTGCACAGGGCAGGCAGAGAATGCTCATCCTGTTAGAAGGCACATTGGGATGGGTGTATGGAGAATTAGCTTGCTATCGATGGTGCAGGTTGCACCTAATGGGAGGGCAGGAGCTTAGTGTTTGGTTTTGATAATGGGGAGCCCCAGCTTTGGGAGAAAACAGCTCCTGAAAAAAATTCTGGCTCCCTCTGATGGTGAAGAAGAAACCTCATTGTGAAGGGAGAGTGCTTGCGGCGCCTTGGGTGCAGTTGCCTCGATACTGGCAGTGTCTGCAGTTCACATGGCCCCATTCTGACTGCCCAGTGCCAAGCATCCAGGCAACTGGGAGACCCGGGATGGGAAGCGCCAGCTTGGTCAATGCATTAGCAAGATTTCCCCTACTGTGCAGTTACGTTCCTGCCCTCTTTAATTCAGCACATCCCTAAGCATGGATGCCAGCCCCCCCGCCTCCTCAGAGGCTGCAGAACATGTCAGGCTCCTTTCTCCCTGTGCCCCCCTGTTTGCTGCAGGCATCAGATGTAGTCAGGGTCCTGGGGAGCTGGAAGGCTCAGGAAGTGGCTGCTGAAGATGTGAATTTACATATTTTGGATGCCGGATGGTTTCTGTCAACCTCTTCCATCTGAGGGCCAGATGCGTTTATACGGGTGGACAATGACTGCTGCCCATCTGGAATGGGGTTTGTGGCTCAAAACACGTTCGTCTGCCCAGGCACTTGGGTACTTGGTCATCCTGTTTCCTGGTCCCGGTGATGGTGGCTCTGTATTTCTTGATCTAAACCCTGGTTTACTCTGGGTGAGTGGGCATTGGTGCAAACGGCAGTGGCTGGTGCAAATGAAATGTCTCTGTACCGGGGTTTCTCAGCCAGCATCACTAACCCGCTTCCCCATGTGTTCAGTTCTATTTACAAGGACTCAAACACTCTGCACCTCCCCACCGAGCGCTTCTCCCCGGTTCGGCGCTTCTCCGACGGTGCTGCCAGCATCCAGGCTTTCAAAGCCCACCTGGAGAAGATGGGCAATAACAGCAGCATCAAGCAGCTTCAGCAGGTAGGAGAGGGCTGGGGGCCTGCAAAGAGCCTGTGCAGGGGCTGCTGCTTGTCTCAGCCTCACTGCTTCAGGGAGCAGAAGGTGAAATCTTGCCCGCTGACGGCTGTGGCCATGCAGCGGCTTTCCAGCCCAGGAGCCGTTCCCCTCTGTGTCTGCAGAAACCCTGCTGCGTGCAGGATTTGACCCCACGACAGGACTGTCACCTCGCAGCATGGTAGAAATATGAAATGCCCTTTTCGCCTTGAGGTGATCGTTACTGGAGCCTTGTGCTTGCATTCTGAAGGGAACACAGAGGTACCAGCTTGGTAGCACGTGCGCCCATCTCTGTCGTCCGAGCCTTGAGCTAGCCATGTTATTACACACATGGCTCTGTCAGATTAAATAGATTAGGCTGTCTTTGGTAGCTTTTTTCAGATGGGTAGGCTGCAGAAAGTGCCTTTTTGCACAGCAAGCGTTCTGTGCACGAAAAAAGTCACTTAGAGGGTGTGCTGGACTCGTTTCAGGAGTGCGAGCAGCTGCAGAAGATGTACGGTGGGCACATGGACGAGAGGACGCTGGAGAAGACGCAGCAGCAGCACATGTTGTACCAGCAGGAGCAGCACCATCAGATCCTTCATCAGCAGATCCAGGTACTGCAGCCTGAGCCAGACCTTCTGAACTCGTGGCTGTGCTTTCCCGCATTGCTGCGGATCCAGCTACAGAGCAGATCCCGGTGGGACTGGGGAGGGTGGGTGGCTCCGCTTGCTGTAATTGCAGCGAGAAGCAAGGCTGAAGAGTTCAGCGGAGATGTTTGCACAGCTGCTGCGATGGCCAGCGCTGCAGTCAGGGGTGGACTGTTAGAATGTGGATATGTGCTCCTTCACCAGTCAGTGTTTTCTGAATGTACCAGTTGAGACGTTATTGACTGCAAACACTTCCTGTTTTCTTTTGCTGCCTGGTTCAGGACTGTATCCGGCCACCCCAGCCATCTCCACCCTTGCAAGCTCCATGTGAAAACCAGCCAGCTCTGCTCACTCACCAGCTTCAGAGGTAAAGAAAATGCTGTGGTAAAGCTCTGGGGAGTGGGTTTCGCTCTTACCCAAGCCCAGGGGTGAGCTAGCACCATTAGGGAAGTGTGGGGCTGCATTGGAAGTGTATGGAGTTAAATGGCAGAGCCAGTTCACAGCTGAATGCGCCAGGTCCTTTCAGCCGGATTCTGCCCGCAGGACTTGAGAAGCAGAGGAACTCTGTGTTGTAGCCACGGGGTTGTGCTCACTACCTGTGACCTGGGCAAGCTGGGGGACTCTCGGGAGAGAAACCAAGCTGGAAAGAGCTTGGGACCCCAAACGAGGGCTTTCTAGTGTTCAGCTAACAGGAGAGATGCAGCATTTAGCGTCGGCTCCGACAATTGCCGAGGCATCTTAATGAGGAGCAGACGTGACGGAAAGGTGCTTGTTTCCCTGCGCAGGTTACGGATTCAGCCATCCAGCCCGCCCCCGAACCACCCTAATAACCATCTCTTCAGGCAGCCGAACAGCAGCCCCCCTCCTGTGAGCAGCAGCGTGCTCCAGCCCCACGGTAAGCGCTGACAGTTCGCTCGGCCATCTGCGCTCCTCTGGATGAGCTTCTTGGCACAGCCCTCCCCAAACCCCTGGGGAAAACACCGGGGGCGGGGGGCAGGCCGGGGCTTTGTTTCCCCCCACGGCCCGGTCCTCGCACGGTTTTCTGCTGATGTACACGATTCTCCATCTGGCAGCCAGGGCTGGTGTTACCGAGGGCGTGCGAGGAGCTGCCAGCTGGAATGTGCTCTTGGGTTTCTCGTCATGAGATCCGTGCTTATCGCTCCCGGGGGTGGGGAGGAAGGGCTGATATTCTGGGGTTGATGCAAATCACTGTCAGCTCCGCTTTGTTTCCCTTTCTGCGCAAGGGGCTCTAGCTGTGACCTTCGCACGCTGGCGCGGCGGTCAGCAGCGGGGCTCCTCGTCACCCACAGCCGTGCTGGGACTCCCAGCGTGGCCCGGGAGGGCGGCAGCTCCCGAGCCTTGCCGTGGGCTGGTGCTGAGGGTCGTTGGTCCCCGCAGGTGCAGACCACCAGAACCAGTTCCA